AACAGGATGCAAACCCACGACATTACGGCTTTGAAGCGAGACCACTACCACTAGGCCACGGTGACACTGTCCAATGAGCGATCAGCAGCGCTTATGAGACAAAACCGGGATTTCGCAAACTTTGACCGCCCAGAACTCGTCTGGGAGGTCCCCGTAGCACTTTTAATCTGCATATTCGTAATCAGCATTCGAGGCTCTATCGATGTACCTAGGTCTCCATTCAAAGTTCCATGGGAAGTTCAAACCATTCCCTTGTAAGAATCATTCAAGAATATCGTGCATCTGCCGAGCTTAACACTTGCGCTCTTCGTCATGATCGTCCGAGATTCCGTCTTCCCTTCTCCCTGGGAAATTGATATAATGCTTAGAATAGAGAAGAGAAAACCCACTCATTGATCAACAAGCCAAGACCAGTGATCTCAAGCTAGCGCTAGTGCTGAGCATTATTGGATAATGCTACTCGCTTCAATCCACGATGTATTCAGTCCATCGTTTGAGCTGTGAAGACAAACGGAATGGAATTTGAGTAAAATTGTTTCTAGTATTGATACTAGTCGCCGTTACATGTGGTTACATATTGCGTTTGAAGGAGGTAGTTTTCGAAGTAATCCAATATGATGTTGTTAGAAACAAGGCGCTCGAAATAGCGAACCTTCACCCGTATGTTTACCAGTTCCTGAATAACAAATCAAGTCAGGACTAAAAATGATGGACCCAAATTCCAGCGAGTCGTGTGAATTTCGAACTCCATAAGTATGAACCTCACTGCAGTTTGAAGAGTACCTATACTGAACTCTCCGGAGGTGTAAGCCCGCAAAAGGTGTCAGAATACACCATTTTTTCATCACTCTTCATAACCTGCATAAAAGCAGTCTGTCGCGATTTGTGAGTCGTGAGGATGGCTGGAGCGTGTGAATGAACTGCTGGAATGACTTCTTATGACCATCCGGGATTTCGCGCGAATCAACGTTGGCGATAGCACCATCACGACCACCGGGGCAAGTTTCGTTCGCTCTTCGACTCCTTCATCTCTGAAGTGCCGCTGGTCTTGCACAGTTCGCCCTGCGTCAAGTCGCAGATGGTCGGCAGCCGATGAATAGTAGAGCAAAAAATGCTCATGAGCTCCTGCTGATCTTCTTGGGCAGTTGATCTGGCAACACCTGGCGAGCTGCGTGTTGCCAGATCAATTGAAAGATTACTGGAAGATTACTGAAAGATTCTAGTTCAGCTTTTTTTCTTGAGGATCAATGGCCGTTCCGGTCTTCTCGTCCACGCACCCTCTTCCTTCTCTACCAGTTCCAGCTTTGGACTATTTGTTCGGCGATCTCTCATGTTCGTATTTTGCTGTAAAAGAAAATTGTTTTCCTACACATAACTGTTTTATAGGATACCCCTTGCTCACACCTTATAAAGGACTGCGTACGAGCTCTGTTGTCTCACGGCTCGTTCAAATTAATCAAGGGATCCCATTTTGACTTTGTTTTCATTGTATTAGCTTGTGCCCTACCTGTAATATAACATTTTTCAATGCCATCGTGTCTGTCCAGATAATGCTGTCGTCGATTAAGAGAATGAAACAATGTTGTTTTAGCCTGTTGTCTAGGCTTCTGGTTACAGTTCTAGTTGGTTTTGTTTCATAACCTGTGCGGAAGTCTATGAAATAAGGCGAGTCCAGTTTGTTTAGTGAGTCGAACTAATAGCGATTTCACTTTGTTTTATAATGGTGATGCCTGCTACTGCATTACATTACATTAGCATGCCATTGTATCCATTTTTCACTGACGACTCCAAACAATTTTTCGTGTCAATTTTTTTCGTGTGTTGGTTTCTGCCGTCCACGATTCCTGCTTATTCTCGCTTCTATTATGTGTTACGTATCAATGATCTCTTCAGATGGACGGTTTTTCTCTTAAATTCTGTAGGCTGGGATATGTTACAGGTGTTCATGTTTTAATGAGAAA